CCTAGAAGCGGCTACGGCGAACACAATAAGCATAAAATCAGACCTCTTTCGTGGTTGTGATGGGCTTTATTCGTATTTGCAAACGCAATGGCTCAAACGGACCAAACAGGTTTGTGCAGACCTATGTGTGGCATGAATGCTGGAGCAGGCGTANGACCAAACAGGTCTGTGCAGACCTATGTGTGGCATGAATGCTGGAGCAGGCGTATTAAAAATGTTTTGACCACGGACAAACCAGTTATAAGTTTTATCGCAAAAACCTTGCCCCATAACAGTTATTAGATGAGAAATTTTTTTTTATTTCGCCGATAAGAGTTATAACCCAACGTTTATTTTTTACCTTGCCTGATAACTTTTATGCCGCAGAAATATTTTTTCCGTTGCTCATAAGAGTTATTTCGCAACATTTTTTTTTACATTGCTTGATGAGAGTTTTTTACTATTTCACTTTTGTTTTCATCATATTTATCTTCTACTCCATCTCCATCTTCATAGATATCGTTACCTAATAGCTGGTATGAAACCGTTTCGATTTTAAAGTTAAAAATATTAGTTTTTTTGGTGCTGCGTGTAAAACTTTATATAGAACGTTCAGANTAGTGCAAACACCTGTAAGTTTTTATTGAAGTGAATTTATTTTGGGGTTTTCCACAAAAATATAAGGTAAGTGTAATTTTTTCTGTTTGTTTACATATAGAAAAATGGCTTCAGCATCCAGTATCGATGATGATATGATGGACGTGGTGAATCGCACCACAAGATATCAAAATTTATCGGAAGAAGAGAGGAGGCAAATGGAAGAAAGGTTAGCAATATGGTTGGCCGGTGCTGATGGAGAAGCCGAGGAAATCAATGCATTCGAAGGCGACGACGTCACGGATCCTGATTATGTGCCGACGTTAGAAGATGCGGCTTCCGATGCTGAGACTGAGACCGTTATAGAAACCGAGACTCCATGTGACGATGATGAGGATTTGGAATATTTATATGAAGGCACTGCAGCTACACCCGAAGCGCTTGAAGCCGTCGATATGGACGAGGAGCCTCGTTCGGCGAACTCGATTATTAAATACCGTTCAAAGGATGGCAAGCTTTGGTCAAGCGCTCCGCCGTGCACAGGTAGACTTCGTGAGCATAACTGCGCTATTGTGGGGTCGCGAAGGCCCGGCTCCAGGGATTATGCGATCCCGGTTTCAATATTTAAATCGCCATAATACCGGAAATCTTTAGCATAATTGTGCANCAGGGATTATGCGATCCCCGGTTTCAATATTTAAATCGCTAATATTACCGGAAATCTTTAGTATAATTGTGCACCAAACGAACCGAAAGGCCCAGGAACTATGCCGCCTATGGTGTGCCAAGAATCCTGACCAGCCACCGCGAACGTGGACGAAACCTGTAACCGAAAATGAAATATACGCCTTTTTTGGCCTAACTGTGTTTGCCCGCATATTCGGGTCAAACAGTCAGCCTGCTCTTGAGTTGTGGGCCAACAACGGAAACCCTATCTACAGGGCGACGTTGGCTGCATACCGATATAAAATTATTCTACAATTAGGGAGCTCACAGTTCTATATTATCTACTGTTTTAATTTTACCATGTGGTAACTTTGTTTGTTGTTGGTTCCCATACTAATTTGAGATAACACTTTTGGGTAAAATTACTCGACTTTGTCTCATGTTTATGTTTTGTGTTAAACTGGCATCTATCGCTGCTTGTACATACATACATGAATTTCGCTTTGGGCGCAGCGCTGCTTGTACATAAGTTTCGCTTTGCGCCTGCCTGAAGCTGGCAAAGAGAAGAGAGAATAGAGGGAAACATGTATGTGGTTTGTTGATGCTCTCTAAACACAAACGCGTGAAAGGCAAACGGTCTAGCAATGCGTGGTGTTGTTGATCAACTTAATACTTTATTTTAACGTAAGGGTTGCTCACAGTTCGAGTGTGTTATCTTGTTAAAGTTACCACCTTTTAACTTTAGAAGTAAACTGCGAATACCCTAAATATATTTGATTCGATAACGGCAACACAAGACCTGCTCGACTATTAGAAAGCAAACCGGTAGCCATTGACGACATTTGGAACATGCTCATGAGCAACTTGGAACGTCTATATGTTTCGGTTGGCATATGTAGGAACCATGCGCAAAAACAAAGCCTGCATACTGCCGCCTGTTGGATCCAAAACGAGATGTATTCAGTACAGTATTCGGTTACCACGATAATAACATCGCGCTATGCTCATACGTTCAAAAAAAAAAAGTGGTGGTTCTCATGTCGACCGAATATTACAATTCCGCCGTCGACTCATCGAAGCCATCGAAGAAGCCATTTCAAATTCTGGACACCATGGATCAGATGGTTAGCGGTTACACGTGCAAACGGGGCACAAACTGGTGACCGTTAGCTCTGTTCTATAACATGCTGGACGTGGCTTGCTTGACTGCATTTGCCATTCATGACAAATTCGGGCATGTCAAGAGGACCGACCGAAGACGTGTATTCCTCATGGAATTGGCAGAACAGCTGGTGGTTCCTCACATGGAGCAAAGAGCAACGAATCCCATTGTACGAGGTATTCAACACCTCAAAGTGGCAATGGTGTTATTCGGTGTAGAGGTAAGCATTTCATATATGTATTTATTCATTGAACTCAAGTTCTAAAATCATTTGTTCAACGTTTTTTTCGCAGGTAGCTGCAGGCCCACCGATAGATGACACTGGACCACAAATTTCAACTTTTTCTCTTTACCAGAAACGCCGTTATGAAATTCTTATGTAAAATCACCCCCTGATTCCGAAAATCAAGGTTATTTTTAATTCTATGGTACCGTTTTTGAGATATTTGCAATTTACCGTTTTTGCAAAAAAAAAAAATTGGGTCCACTTTATCATATATATCTCAAGAACGAATTAAGCAATTC